TTCATATTTTTTCGTTTGCGTGATTTGTTTAGAAAAATTCTGGTAGATAAGAGGTGATTTATTTACATTTAGATCTTATTCTAAGGCCTTTTATTTGCATTTTTCATCCATATTTTATGTATTTATTCCATCAGTGAACATTTTAACGTAGCACCTGGGCATTTTTAATTCTGCTTTAAGATATTGTGCAAAATCACCCAAAATGAAGCCGACGTAGCAGACACAAAGAGCCAGAGAGGCTGTCTTAATTTCTGTAGGTCATAATGGAAAAACTGCAGTTTGTTGACGAATCTGACCCTTCACGCTTACTCTCAATGAAACGTTGATCCTATAAATCAGTGGTTCAATTTCATATGACGATGGTTGTGTGCTTTAACAGTTTGCTAAACGTCTTTGTTTTAACTTTCATCTGTGCTAAGTAACTTTAGCTCGTAAGCTAACCTGTTCAGATACAACATAGCATATGTATTTTCACTGTCCATTAGGTCTCGGTTGTTACCTTACATTTATGGATTATAGCTTGGTGTTGTGTTGTTGGTGTTCTAGTGTTGTGTTTTCTGTTTTTAGTAACTGTGGCATATGGTAGCTCTCATTATTTCTAAAAGGAGTACCAATTCGCCATCACTTGAAGTTAAAGTAGACCACATTTTTGTCTTCTCGCATCCCCTGATGTGTATAGTCAAGCGTGTCAAAATTCGCCTCCGAATATTTTATTATTTCGCGTTGTATATTTGTGTCGTTCCCGGTGTGTAAGGACCTTTAGGATGAATTTACTTTTTCTTATTATGGTGAATATTTTCTCCTCTTGCCAAACTGTATCTAAATCTCATCTTGGTCTCATCTTGGTCTCATCTTGTCGATGTTGTATCCTCAGCATGCAGCAACAACTGTACGGAATGATATGCTGCAAGTATAAAGACCCAGAGACGCTGAAGAGTCTCCAGAGACACTATCACTCATGGCGGCTCCTCTGCAGTCTAAAACAATACATGAGAACAAGAGGCATCAAGGATGTTTGACACTTATTTTATGCTTGGTACCACAATTACCCAGGAGACATCTGTGCCAACAAAATGGCATCTACGGCTCTTGTTCTGGGCTTTGCACGGATTTTGATAGTGAGCACAGCAGAATATGAGAATGATTTCCCGCAGTAGCAGAGAAGTAGTCAGGGAAAATCAGTGTCTAGGTCCAAGGATGAATAATAACACTGCATAATTAGTGTCAGGCAAGATGCTGTGGTGGTTTTATGATCGTGGCAACTAGAACTTTGCTGAAGAAATGTTGTATCTGCTGAACAGGATGGTGTTTATCATCTGTGCCCATATTATTCGTCATAACCTGAGCTGGGTCTAGTCAATAACATGTGGCCCACACAACAAATACCACTCCTGCAAGTGAGCGAGATTTGGCCTGCTATCTGGAGGGCAGCAGGAATCCTCGTCTGCTCTCTAAGATTGTGCAGTAGTTGAAGAAGAAGGTGGCAGTAAGCATGCTCTCATTTTCTGGCATCACCAGAGTGTCCTTTAACTGTGGGGAAAATACTGAATTATCAACTCTAGACCAGGTTTTTGCAGCACAATTGTTGCCTCCGGATAAAATGGCACCAACAATTGTCCTAAACGCACCTCATTTTGAGACAAACAATGTTGAAATGTCCTCAACGGTGCTGCATTGTTACAACAACAGCGTTTTGCAGGCTGTGTGCCTGCTGCTCTTTTTGTCTGGGGAAAAGAATTCAGGCCATCCTTTTTAGTAAGCACTGAAGCCTGAGGTAAAAGGAAGCTGGAGTGTTTACTGCAACTTCAAATATCCCATCAAGGTCCTGTGATGGACTGACATTGGCAATGCAAAGGGGACACACCGTGCAGCACTGGTATCATTATTCCTTTGTTACTGGAACAGCTGGAAATGGAAAAATGATGGTAGGCTAGTCTCACATCTAAGATTGACATACTAAAACAGCTCTAGATGGCCATGCTGGTAATTTTGGAACATAACCCTTACCTTTAAACCTTCACTGACCAGCTGTTCCTCCACTCTGTGGTTTCTCTTGTCTAGATTCTCATGAAAGACTCTGAAAGCTCCTACTTTAGCTCATCTCTCCACTTATTTATAGAATATAGAAGCTAGAGGCTATTTCACAGATTACATGTCACACCTGCTTGTCTCTGATTCATTCAGGTAACAACCTCATTAGTGAGCCCCCTGCTGTTTGCCACAGGTGGGCACACAGTTGCTCTGTGGTATGGAGGTGTTATGAGTGACTTGGACAACTTATTGGTGTTGTACTTTTAAAGACAACACTTTGTCTGACACCCTTCACACTCATGAGAGGCCTCTCTGTAGACAAAAATACACATACATTTAACTCCTTTAAATTAAGGATTCATCTGTACAAATGTATGATTTTGATTTGAGAAACCAAAACAGGAGTTTGCATGAGGAGAGGATTAAGTCTTAGGCTGTGAGCTGATTACACGTCGGAGCGATTTGCATTTACATATGATTCGCACTCACAAATACAGACATACACAGCAAACAACATGCAGCCCCGCTGCGACGAATTTACATTGTTACTGGACTGTAGAAAGATTATTGCACAAAGCTTAAATCCACTCAGAGAGAGAAGCACAGCTAATCCCAAACAGACAGGATTCTGGGAAAGGCCTGGAAGCTGCTCCTCCTGATAAACAGAGGAGAGGTGCAGGCCTGCAGAGAGCCATCCTTCCTGTTCGTTATGGACTTTATCAGAGGTGGGGAAACTGGAGAAGTAATGTCTGGTGCCCCGGCAATGGCAGTGGAAGCTCTAAAAGCTTTTCCTATATTGTTGAATCACCTCATTCTTTCCTCTGATGGTCCTGAGTGTCAGGTTGATGCAACAGGTTACCTCTGGAGGTGAGAGGTGCTGCTGCTGCTCTGAGCACTGATGCTCCGACTAGGCTGTGCATAATGTTTTCAACCTTTTAAAGTATTGCTTTTGGGAGAATGTGCAGACAAATATACATATTTTTTCAGAATAACTAACATTGAGCTGGTGCAGCTTAACCGGGTAGGGCTGCAGAACTGTTGTCTCTTCTCTCATTGTTCCTCCTTTTCTTTGCTGATCTGGACCAAAGCCGCATTCATCAACAGAGCTGTTAATAAAACTAACTGAAACTTAAACTTTTGAGGGAAGAATGAACTTCTGGGCATAAATCAGATGAGTAGGCTCTACTTTTGCTGCTCAGAATCAGGGTTGTACTGACAATGGCGGGCAAATAAGGACGATCTGATGAAAAACAAGCAGAGAACATTATCTATCGAGTATCTTCAGGCACACGCTGTCTTCTCCTCTACTTCAGCCTGTTACTTAACCGTCCTTTTATTCCACCAGCATAATTACTTTCTAATACTGTTCCTGCCTTGCTCTTTGTCAGACTGTTGATTTCCTGATGGTTCAGTCTGTACACGTAAAGCCTCTGATGCCCGGGTCTTTGAGGCAGACAGTTGATAAATGCCTACCTAGCAGCAGGGGGTGCGTCTCAGTTATTACTAGACAGCGCTGTTAGAACATGTGTATGTGTGTGTTCAGGTCGTTAATGTTGCACTGTAAGAATAAGAAGAACTTCGTTAATCCCTGAAGGGAAATTTAATAATGATCGTCAATCAGACTGAAGCTGAAACTGAGCAATGTAGGGCTGGGCGATAACTGAAAAATTACAGATACCAGAATTTACAACAACAAAAAAATAAATAAAAGTTTGTTTTGGATGTGTGTAGGTAGGCTATGGTCTCATGTCCCTTTCATGAAAGACTCCTGCAATATGCTGTCCTAGGTTGGAGATGTGACTCCACCTCATTCAGTCCGTAACAAAGAGGGAAAGACAGGTGAGGAGATGGAGGACAGTTCAAAAGTTGTAGCAGCTGAAGTAGACAAAGTTAATGTGGGAGGGGGTGAGCAGCTTGTGGAGTAGTTATCGTCCATTAATTGTTATCAAGGTGAACTGCTCAATATATCGTGATACTGATTTGAGGTCATATCGCCCAGCCCTAGAGCAAGGTGAGGTTTTTGAAAACTAAAAAGTTCCTCATGGGAGCTTTAAGGAAATTAATTATGAGGATGTATACAGAGTAATCCACAGAAATAATCCCACTTGAATTTCCCGCAGTGTTTAATTCTCTGTGAATTGCTGCTTTTGGCTGCAGGGTTGATATAATTAGCAGGATGCCTACACCACCAGGGAAGAGAAATAAGACAGACGATTATGTACAATAACAGCAATTAAAGCGATAACGCAGAGCAACATATGTTCAGAGCTATATTAGCCTCTAGAGTGGGGCTTTGGACCTTTCTCACTGAGCGTCTTTTAAAATCAGAGCCAAAAAAACTCAGCCGACCCAAACCAGCTTAAATTCGACAAGACACGTTTATGATACTGAGTGCTTGACTGTGATTTAATATGTCTTTTTCTTGACTTTCCGTTTGTGTGTGTTTTCACTCAGAGGCTGGTGTGCAGTCCACTGATCAGAGGACATCAGTAAGGGGCCAAAAACTGATCCTGGATCAGAGAAAAGCTGTCACCAGGTGTCCATGAAGCCTTGTTCATGCAAGTCTTACAAAACTTCGACTGAAAATTAATCATAGCACATTGAATTGGTTCTGCAAACAAAGAGAAGTCAAACCATCTTCAGTCTGTTTGTGCATTCAGTTTTAAAAGTCATGGGTCTTTAAAGCGTCTGACCCGACTGACTCCTGGTCAACAGAGCTGATTGAGAAAAAGACAAAATAAAAGCCTGTGTTGCTTAGAAACAAGATCTTTGATGACTCCCACAATTTGTTCTGACAGCATGAGAGACCTGCAGGCTTTTAGATGATCAGGCCACTGAATGCCACGCTGACCTCCAGTTTTTGTTCGTTTCAGCACAGAGCATTTTCTTCCTATTAGCAGGAGTTCAGCAATTTAGAGTTAGGGAGTGTGGAGGACGACTTTGCAGCTCTCTAGGGCTCTAATCCTGAGCAGAGGAGGCCTTTGGGAGACTTTGGAGAACAATGGAGGTTAAAAGTCTACAGAGCTGAAAAGTTGCCTCAGAGAAGCTTCAAAGTGAAACAATGACTTCTTCAGAGCTGTGAAAGCCCCTCAGTGCACTTCACACCTAAAGATGGAGGAATCAACTGTGTATGCTGTGCAGGAGGATGAAGCTTCACTCTCGAAACATCAGTGGAGCAACGAGAGAATTAAGGTCCTTTCACACCGGGACCGTTTTTTTTGGGCCATTATTTCGGACGTCAGTATTTTCTTCGAACCTGTATCCTGTCATTACAAGCGTTCACATCAGCGACGTTTTCCCGTCCTGCGATATTGCGGCATTTATTTTTTCGGGTCACGGTCGATTTTTCTAAAGTTTCACATAATGTGTGTCCACTTCTGACCAATCAGATTGTGTGCTGTTGCGTTGTCTGATTCACTGGTATATCCAATATGGCCGACCGGCTGATTGTTTATGTGTCGGAGAACAGAGTGATTTATGATAAAAGACACAAACATTACAAAGATAACAACCAGAAGGACAACATAGCGTCAGATCTCTCATATGACGATGGTTTGTGTGCTTTAACAGTTTGCTAAACGCCTTTGTTTTAACTTTCATCTGTGCTAATGCTTGTTACAATAGTTTCATGTGCTTATCTTATCACCTCTGATTGGCTGTAAGTGCTGACCGTTTGGCTTGAGCATGTGATGAAGTTTCTAGCTTTTCTAGCCAATCAGAGGAGAGGGAGGCTGGACTTTCCCTGGGAAAAGTCTTCCCCTGGGATGCGTCTTTTCTCCCCTGAAAAGTCGCAAAATCGCATCGGGCTTGATGTGTATAGTCAGGCCCGTCAAAATTCACCTCTGAATATTTCGTAGTTTCACGTTCTATATTCACGTCGGCCCTGATGTGTAAGGACCTTAAGGAGCCCAACCTAGAAGGCCAAGTGTTATGAATCAGATTCTCTAATCTGAACAATCCCTATTATTGTTTTCAGTCACCTTATTGATCTCCATGAGGAAACTGTCTGTGTCTGAAAACAACAAAAAAACACAGAAAGAGTCTGAAGAAAAGAGTCGGCTGAACAGGCCACAGAGGACGACCTTCACATGAAGTGTTTTTGATGCGTTAAGGCTGAAGTGGATGAAATCGGACTCCGCTCTGTTTCTGTGGAGGAGATTTCTCTCAGTCAAGAGATGCTCCGTCACAACAGCTGTGAGTGATTAATACAGCCCTGCTCAGATTCATTCCTAAATCAAATCTCCAGAATAATGTGTAAATGAAGCTAACCTGGGGCATCGCTGGCCTAGCAGCCTCATATTCATGCCCTGTATTCAGAGGTTGTGCCTCGGGCAGTCGTAATTAACGGTTAACTCAACCAATTTTGAACAAAGTGGGTCCACAGGTCTTCACACACACACACACACACACACACACGCACGCACGCACGCACACACACACACACACACACACACACACACACACACACACACACACACACACACAGTACTGCTGTGTATGTAAATGTACTTTTCCATTGCATTCAACTGCATTTAGACGCCAAAAACTGGGTCATGTCAGGCTGTGCACTATGGGAGAAAAGTTGACAAGCATATATTAATGGATCAGAAATAGATTAATCAATTATTTACATATTTGTAAAGCAAAGCAGGAGAACTTTCTTATTATTATGACGACAAAAAAGGAAATAATAGCAGGTGGGAAAACGAGGCCTCAGTTTTCATAGCTGAACTGAATGTTTGAATTTCAATCACCCGTCTCTTTGTACAAGATTTCTCAGGATTTTTCATCATATTTTATACTTTTACTCACAGGTGTAACAGAGGTTATTCATTTGGAGGCATAGAAAAACTTAAAGTGCACTTGAAGAGATCTCAAGAGGCTTCGCTGTCATTTCTGAGCGTGGTTATTGCAGGAGTCTTTCAGCTGAGATGAGAGAGCTCATACAGATATCAAGTAGCCAAAGGATTACCGGTGTTATACGGGTCATTTGTTGGTTTATATTTGAGACTAAAGATTGTTTCTCAGTTTCTATCAGATCTAAACAGTTCAGTCTGCAGGTTTTGTATCTGTTGCATGTTTGACTATTTAAAGGACACTTCCACTGTTTTTTTTTTTAAGCTGAGACAGACGTGTAGCAGATATCAAATCAGTATGAGTATGTCAAAAACGTTCTGACCTTTGACTTTGCTGGATTAAATCTGCCTCTTTGTTTTTTAACCTTTGACCTCTACAACAAGCTTCGATTTGGCTCCATTTCACGTCTCACTGATAGTTTTTAGTAGTAAGAGCCTGAGAGGAAAGTCTGACACAATAAAAAGAAATGGAGCTGCTCTTTACAGGTTTCAGTGTCTGTCTTTAGAAGAAGAAAAACAGTTAGTGAAGATGTTTCCTGGACCTGATCTAATCATTTCAGTTAAATAAGTTTATTTCATCCACATTTGCACCTGGCATAAGCAGTGCGTAGACTTGTCTGTTCTTGTTTTGGTCAGCTTTGGTGCTTTATTTCCTCTTGGATATGCTTTGATGCAAAATCCACCGGACAATTTTTCAGTTTATTACTGCTGTGTCCAGGTAGTCCCTGATTAGATTAACCAATATGAATCATAACTGGAGAGATTAGAGCTTCCTGTCAGCGGCTGGAACCAAGAAAATCTCAGTTTTCTCATGATATGAGAAACACTCTTGTATTGAGGTTTGGATTGTTCTATCAAAGCACTTTTCAGCATTAATTAAGATTGAAGGTCCTTACACACCAGGATCGTTTTTGTCGTGCGATTACTTCGGACGCCCAATATATTTTTTCGAACCCATATCCTGGCATATCGAACGACGTTTTCCCGTTCTGCGATATTGCGGCATTTATTTTTCCGGATCACTATCGATTTTTCTAAAGTTTCGCATACTGTGTGTCCACTTCTGACCAATCAGATCGCGTGTTGTTGCGACCTCAGATTCACCGGTATATCCAACATGGCCGACCGGCTGATTGTTTACGTGTCGGAAACAGAGTGTTTTTTGATAAAAGACACAAATATTACGAAGGTAACGACCTGAAGGACAACTTGTGGAGAGTCATAGTGTCAGATTTCTCATATGACGATGGTTTGTGTGCTTTAACAGTTTGCTAAACGTCTTTGTTTTAACTTTCATCTATGCCAACATAAGCTAACGGTTGTTACCATAGTTTCATGTGCTTATCTGGTACTGGCCCCGACTCAGTATTTGCTACCATGACAGAAAGCCATCTCAACACTAGTGTCTAGTTGAAGTAGACTGCATTTTTGTCTTCTCGCTTCCACCCGAGATGCTGGTTGTTAAGGGAAGGTCCCGCCCTCCTTTGCCTCTGATTGGCTATTAGTGCTGACCGTTTGGCTTGAGCGTGTGATGACCTTTCCAGCTTTTCTAGCCAATCAGAGGCGAAGGAGGCGGGACTTTAGCCCGGGAAAAGTCTTCCCCAGGATGCCTCTTTTTCGCCCCGGAAAGTCGCAAAATCGCATCAGGCTTGATGTGTATAGTCAGGCACGTCAAAATTCGCCTCTGAATATTTCGTGATTTCGCGTTCTATATCCATGTCGGCCCTGATGTGTAAGGACCTTGATTGTTGACTTTGACTAATAGTTTACCCTTCAAATACACAAACACATCCATGTTACAGCCGTGTACATACAAAGAGTGGATGAATTATTAATTATGCAATGGAAAAAAAAAAAAAAAGATCAATATGAAATTACTCGCTCCAGTATTGATCGGAAAGGTGGTTCACGAGGAACAAATTGCACTGACATATATACATAGTTAGTGTTGTGTATGACTGAATGTGCATGCACAAATAGTAGACTGCGTGCACACTCCTACAGGGAGTGTAATGTGTCCTTTTGCATCATTATTTTTCTCACACTGAAGCTCAGGGGAGTTGCTTTAATCCGTCATTATATCAAAGGACAGGTAGATGGATATCAGATGTGTGTGTGTCTGCGTTTACATCATGTCAGCCCGGCTTAGCACACCTAATCCTGATGGGTCAAGGTGTGAGCACATAGATTGAAAGAGGTTTTTTTTTTTGTAGTTTATGCATTCAGCTGCTTTCTCTCTGGAGTTTGTTTGCTGTAATGAGGAATTAACATTGTGATTGAACCACTTTCCAAGAATGCTTCAGCTAATTATGCAGGTAATTTAGATTTTATACGAGCCTTTAATTGAAAAGGAACTTTAATCTCCGTGTAAGAAATAATGAGATCCGTCCTGAATCAAACCGACAATGATGAGTTTAATCTGGGCTCGTCTCTCTCTGTCAGGTTAAAGATATGTCTTAATTATAACCTTATCAAACTGTTATTGATTTACTGTAAAATGAAACTTTGCTCTGATTTGTTTTTGTTAAATTGAAAGACACAAAGAGTGGAGAAAATTGAGTATTTTTACTGCTCCTCCAGTGGTTGTTTTTTTTATCCAGTTTATGAAGCTCTGCAGCTCAAAAGTTTCTCCAATAACCAGCGACCAGTCACCTCCAGTCCGTCTGACTTATTGATATTTATGTCATAGTGAGTGGCATTTGGTTTGATATTTAAAAAGCAGGGTACAGGATGTTAACAGCAGGAATACAGACGTCATGTTGCTCTAAGGTGTTAGCAGTCACCCCAACAGTCTCTGTGACATTCAGCAGTTAGAAATGGTATTTACCGAGTGGGAATCATATTTTCACCTCTGTCGGCTCTTCTCGCCCCTCAGCCGAGCAGACAGCTGTGCAGAGAGTTTTCTCTCACAGTGATTTTATCAGGCCAGGATGGAGAGAAAAGTCAGGATTTATTTAGCTCTGTTTCTTTACATGGTATTTCAGTTTTTTGACTGTAAGGATGTGACAACAAGAAGCTGCTTCTTGACACACTGCAGCAGGCTTGTCATGTGATTTTTCATCTAAATGGTGGACAGAGACATCAGCTTGTCATGAAGATCATCAGGACTTGTCTGCAGCAGATTACCAGCACTTAAATAAATGGTTTCCTCTCCCTCTTTCTACCACACTAGGAAGCTGGATCTGCTGAGTCTGTGGCCCCGTTTATACGTACCCGGATATGTTTAAAATTGGAGACATTAAAGGGATATTCAGGCGTCAAATTATTTTAGGGTCAAACACACCGTAACACCGAGTTAGACACCCACTCGAGAGATGAATATTGCCAATGGTTTGCTTCTGTAGTTATACCAACTTTAGTAACGACTGCAGGATACCACAAATTACCACAAATAATGCTCAGACCAGCACCTAACTTCATCAACAGTACATATAGGGTCCCAGACATAGTACTAGCCACCAAACATCTTATTTACTTTGCCTGATTTCTTTAGCAAAGAGACTAAACACAACTCACCTACTCTCTTCCAGCAGCCACTTGTTTGTAGTGAGACCTTGGGCCAGTCCATTACAGACTACAGCGGGGGGGGGGGGGGGGGGGGGGGGGGGGGGGGGGGGGGGGGGGGGGGGGGGGCACAGCTCAAGGAAGAACATTTTTTATAATTTCCTTGAACTAATAATTATCATATTAATCATTTTGCACTGCAGATGTGGTAGTTCTTTTACCTTAGCATCTCGGTCTGATTGCATTTCCATGAAGAAATAATAGAGTGGCGTTTTGGTTGAGGTTTGTTTATGGCTCCTCAGACCGCTGTGTATTGCTATCCTGTGGTCATTCCTAAAGGAACACAGCATGGCATCAGAGAAAGGTGAGTAGGGCCTCAGCGAGACTCATCAGAACCAGAGGATCTGGAAAGGAGTCTTGATCAGAAGTTATCTACACTCACTGAGAGGATTTAGTCATTGCAGTAACAGATAATTCTCGCCAGTGGGTTCTGAGGTTGGAGCTGTGGTAATGAAGCAGGCGGTGCAGTGCATTGCTGCGAATACAGTAAACAAACACCCAGCCTGGCAGACTGTTTCAGGGGAAAATACCGTCCACAGCTGGCTGAGCTCGCTGATGGAAAGTTTTGGCCGTGATTCTGACAGGAGCAGACCCTGGTGCACATTAGTGTGTGTGTGTATGTGAGTGTGTGTGTTTGCCAGAGTCGACCTTGGCACAGAATACATAATGTACTGTAAGGATTTGTCTTAAATAAGCATTTCTACACACCAAAGCGTCTTTTTAATGGCTCTTTTAAAGAAGAGAGAATGAATTTTTTGGTTTCAGAGATGCCTCTGTGTGCGGACTGCTGCAGCTCTACATGTTTTTCCAACGTTAGTGTGTGTGTGTGCCTAATGAGAGAGAGAGAGAGGGAGAGCAGAGGCAGAAAAGACTTCTGGGAAACAAATTGAACACACTAACAGTTTTGCAGAAAGAGAGAGAGAGAGACTCCTTTTGGAGAGCCCTGGTGAGTTGCGTGTCAGCTTGTTTTCTGGCAGCAGCAGTCAGAGGTAGAGAGATTGTAATAAGTCCCTTCAGAGGCAGAGAATAGGAGCTTTAATGTTGCTGGAATTAATGACTGGCATTTCATCATTTCTCATCTGATTAAGACCCAGAGACGATCTTCTTGTAAGAGTCTGTTGTTGTCACCAGAAATGACTAATAGACTCTAATATCTCTCTCTCTCTCTCTCTCTCTCTCTCTCTCTCTCTCCCCCTCTCTCAGGGATCATCTCTGCGTGCTCTCTCTCCCCTGTCGCTCCTTTATTTTGTTTCATTCATTTGGCTAATTTGATATTTGGACTTAATAAAGCTCCAAACGGAGGCCTGTGTGTTTTCATGTACGTTTGTCTCCATCATCCATTCTCTCATTTCTCTCTCTCTTTTCTCATTTCTCTCTCTCTTTTTTTTCAGAGCAGTTGTAATGAAATCAGGCTGCAGCCCCTTTATCTGTATTAGCAGCATTTAAAGGTCTGAGAGAGACTAACAGGCTGCTAATTCTCTGCCTCTGATTCATGAAATTGACAGACATTTGCATAATCTAGCCGTGCTGCTTTCTCCTCCGTCGTTGCCTGCAGACATTTGTGCCACCAGAAAGAAAGAAAGAAAGAAAAGCATCATTTTAATGGTTTGTTTGATGGGATTTGAGTATTTGTTTCAAGGTTGAAGCAACATTTTCAGAGATATGCTTAAAATGCTGTTGATTTCAAGAAGTTCAAGGAAAGCGTTAAAGATCTTTCATCTTTTGACAAGTGAGCCTCAATTTGGCGACAGTTAGTGAAGGGAAGAACAAATCTTTTGACTGTACGGAATCTTTACACTGCAAAAAAGGAAAACAGCCTTGTATTAAGGAAATAAGTCTTTTTTACAAAAAGAATACTAATCTTGTCAAGCATGTTTGGCATTAGAAAAACTATCTAATCTTAAGAGAAAATGACTTTTTCTTGATAAGATATTCCAGCTAATTTTGTAGTAGAATTTTAGAATTTTGAGTAGAAAAATATTTTACAATAAAATCCAGTGGAGCAACAAGATCATTCGTCTCATTTTAAGAGTATGTACAACTTCTTAATTTAAGAATGCCATGAAACAAGAACAAAATAATTTATATATATTGAGTGAGAATGTTTCAGTATCTTGATTTAAGACAACATCACTTACATTTGC